TGAGGGGAGCCCCTGGCTGCTCTGGGTACGCCCCTGACTCTGGTTCGCCCCAGGTGGCGGTACAAGCTGGCGGCCTGCAGCGTGAGCTGTGGGGGAGGGGTCGTGCGCAGGATCCTGTACTGTGCCCGGGCTCGCGGGGAGGACAAGGACGAAGAGATCCTGCCGGATGCCCAGTGCCGTGGGCTGCCTCGCCCGAGGCAGCAGGAGCCCTGTAGCCTGGAGCCCTGCCCGCCCAGGTCAGCAGCCCTGGGACGTCCAGAAGGTGGCTTGAGCTCCTGGTGTGTGCCGATGCCAGGCCAGGTGCTGTGGGGACCAGAGGAGGGCTCGGTGGCACAGGGGACAGTCCTCGGGGGAGGGGACTACCGGGCAGGTCGTGCTAGGCGGCAGAGCTCTGTCGGTTCTCACAGGGCTGCGGGTGTGGGGAGGTCTGGGGGGCTTCACAGCGGAGGAGGCAGCACTGAGCAGAGCCTGGGTGGCCCCGGCTGGGGCACAGCGCCCTCAAAGCCGACACGTGACAGAATAGTGCTCAAGCCGGTGGCGTCCAGAGAAGGGGTTGGAGCCCAGTGGGGGAAGGGCCGATATTCACGCACCGTGTTCACAGTTCTTCCGTGATTTCTCCTTTGTACTTGTGCATTTTTAATAACACAGAAACGTCCAGAAAAGAAGGTGGCATGCAGCGTGTCCCACCAGATTTAACAGATGTTACCATGTTGCCACGTTTCCTTCACGTCTGTCTCTTGTTTTTAAAGAAACACATTGTTATCAATAAGGTTTCATTTAAATGTAAACCCTTTCACTCATCTGGGATTTATTCGGCACGTGGTGCAAAGCAGGGAGCAAACTTTATTTTTCCGAACGTCCCCCAGCTGGCTCCTTCATCGCATCGGGAAGGGATGTGCTGGGACCTAGGCGGACGCTTTCTCTCCTCCCCCCATTCCCATCGCCGTATCAAGTCGTTTTAACCTGGCAGCCTCACGAGCCCCGTGCACCATCCGCCAGAAGCACCTCTCGATTTCACTGCTTGTGCTAAAGTCCCTTGGCTTCGTACCCCATTTATTTTTCACATCACGTTTAGAGGTGATCTGGGGTTTTTTTACGTGGAAATCTCACGTACACATGAGCTCTGGCTCACCCTCGAATGTCGCTGTAGCCACTCTGGCCTCCTTGATGTTCTGGAACATTCCGGGAATGCCCCTGACTCAGAGCTGTCCCCTCGCCCAGGCTCGGCTCAGTGCACGGTGACAGCAGCGGGGCACGCGCGCCCCACCCGTGACGCTCCGCTCTGCTAAGCGCCAGCGTCCGCCACCACAGAGCGCTTACCTCTCTGTTCCCTGTCTCTCTCTTCCTGCTCACCCAGGGGCAATCTGCCTCCCAGGGGACATGTCACAACGTCTGGAGACACTTTAATACTTTGTCATGACTGGGGAGGGGGTGCGCCTGGCCTCTGGTGGGTGGAAGGAAATGCGGGTGCTGCTGACCATCCCCCGTGACAGCGCCGTCACGGTGGAGAAGCGAGTAGGGTCGGGGTGGGGGTGGGGCTGGGTCTGGTTCACTGCCCGCTCCCAGCATCTAGAACAGTGCCAGGCACACGTTTGACAGGTGGCGTCGCAGGACCCCGAGGGCGGCAGAGTGTCGTGGTTAGGACCCAGGCTCCCGTGTGGGCAGCTTGGGTTCAGTCCCAGCTCTGAAAAATGTCAGTCGTCATTATTTGTCGAATGACTGCAGGTGAACATGGCAGGGCTGACCGATGTCGAGGTCTGTTTTCCCTTAGCTTGGAGCGTTGTCCCCTGTCCTTTGGATCAGCAAGCAGCTCTGTGGGTGTGAGTGGGTGTCGTGTGGCAAAGGGGACGAGAGGGGGGCACCTGGTTAAGGCAGAAGAGGTGTCTTTCCTGCAGAGCTTTCCGGTGCAGTGAGCCCTGGGGGGCGGGGTTGGGGCTCGGGCTGCACTTCGGGACCTCAGTGACCTTGGAACCTGTCCTGGACGACCCTCCATCCAGTGGGGGCGGTGCCGTCTTTGGGGAGGCCCAGCCTCTCTCCGGGGTCTTCTCTTCCTGCAGGTGGAAAGTCACATCCCTCGGCCCGTGCTCAGCCAGCTGTGGTCTCGGCACTGCCACACGCTCGGTCACGTGCATGCGGCTCCACCAAGGCCAGGACACAGAGGTGGACGGGGCGGCCTGTGCAGCTCTGGCGCGCCCGCGGGCCAGCATCCCCTGCATCGTTGCCGACTGCACCTACCGGTGGCATGTCAGCACCTGGACGCAGGTGAGCGCTACACCTGGGGCTGGCGGGGTGTGCGGCAGCTGTCCTCACACACGGGGACCCTGGTGAGCTTCGATTCACTGTGATCCCCTGGAAGGATGGAGAGAGCGGGTCTGTTGGGGAGGGGGCAGTCAGGGCACCTAGAGACGGAGGACAGCAAGGCCCAGAGACGTGGTGCAGCTGGCCCCGCACAGGCCCCGAGGTCTAGAGACACCGGAAGGTGAAGGGCAAGTGACTCAACCCCGCACCGATAAGCAAGTGCCATTCCGTGCCAAGCACCTCGCAAGGCCCCAGGAAGACAATAGTAAATAGGGCTGGGTCCCCTCAGAGGCTCGCGGTGTAGAGAAGAGGCAATGCAGACCGCCAACACCTGCCTCGGTCAGAAGGACCCGGAGCATCTGGGGTGGGGCTGATGGGAGCTCAGAGCAGGGCAGGGCAGGGCGGACGCTGGGCTGCAGTGACTGACACAGCACAGAGGGAGGCGGCCACGCCTCCTGATCCCTGCTCTAGGGTTTGGAGTGGCTGAGGCCTCGGGGGTGACAGAGACCTGAGCTGGAATCCCCGCCCCTCCTCCCTGTGTGACCGATGCGGGGCAACCTCGTCTGGAGAATGGGGACAGGTGCCTGCAAAGATCACGGCAGATCACGCCCGGCCTTTGGCCCTCTCCGTCCTCGTCATCCTCTGGCCGCGTCAGCCCGACGCCTCTTCCTTTCTCCTGCCAGTGCTCCGTCTCCTGTGGGGATGGCATCCAGCGCCGGCGTGACACCTGCCTCGGACCCCAGGCCCAGGGGCCCATGCCAGCTGACTTCTGCCAGCACTTGCCCAAGCCGTCGACGGTGCAGAGCTGCTGGGCTGGGCCCTGTACGGGGCAGGCGACACTCAGCCCGGCGCCCCCCGAGGAAGCTCCTGCTCCAGGCCAGACCACAGCTGCCGCTGCTGGTGCTGCCCCGGAGTGGCCCCAGCGCCGGGCCGGCCTCCTCTCCCCAGCTCCAGGGCCCCAGGAGAGGCCAGCGGAGTCCAGTTACGTTCCTTCCTGCTTTCCATGTGGGTGGTTTCTGCAGGAGGGGTGGCAGAGGCGAGTCCGCCTGGGGGAGCTAGGAATCTCCTGGGGCTCGTGGGGAATCTCCTGGGGCTCGTCCTGCACCTGTAGAATTGGGACACTGGGATGGGTGCAGCTGGGCTGAAGGGCTGGGCTTGGGAGGCTGGGCTCAGGGCTGGCCGTCTCCTTCACTGGCCAAGGGCAAGCTCACTTTTATCGTCATCAAGGGAAGGTAACCTGAAGGTTTCACAGAGTCAGGCCCAGGTCTGAGGCCCAAAGCCGGGCACCACTATGCACAGCACCTCCCTCTCGCTGGAGCATCCAGAAACGGCTCTGTGCCCTGGATGATGATGCTCGACCCATGCAGCCCCCTCCCCTGAGCCGAGAAGGGTCCGCTGGGCCTAGGAGGACATCGGCTCCCCTCCCCCAGCCTCCTCCTCCAGCACAAAGAAAGCCCGTCCTGCTGGGAAGGCCCCACCCAGAAGCTCTGGTCACCTGACTCCTGCTTCTTCTCCAGGTGTCTGCAGCCGGCAGCACCTGGAGCCAACAGGAACCATTGACATGCGAGGCCCAGGGCGGGCTGACTGTGCGGTGGCTATCGGGCGGCCCCTGGGCGAGGTGGTAGCCCTCCAAGTCCTCGAGAGTTCCCTCAACTGCAGCGCTGGTACGTCTAGGGCCACCTGAGCAATTGCCACCAGTGATGGGCCTACAGGTGCCAGTGAGCCTGACGCCTGCACGCCCCCTCCTGGCCTGGCAGGTGCTCCGGGTGCACCCCGAGTGCTCATCAGAGTCATCCCATGACTGGGCTGGGATTGTCCCTATTTTACAGATGGGAAAACTGAGGCTAAGCGAGATGAGTCATGTTCCCAGTTCCTTAGAGTCTCACAGCCAGCATGGGGGAGGGTCGGCACTGAGCCCGGTTTACCCCAGGGCCACCGCACTGCGACCTGGGTTGGGGGTGCTGGACCCTCACTGCACTGCCCCCTCCTAGGGGAGATGCTGCTGCTCTGGGGCAGGCTCATGTGGAGGAAGACGTGCAGGAAGCTGTCCGGCTCGACCTTCCTCTCCAAGGCCAACACGCTGGTGGTGAGGCAGCGCCGCGTGCGCTCGGGAGGCGGAGTTTTGCTGCGGTACTCCAGCCGGCCGGCCCCTGGAACCTTCCACAGAGGTACGGCAGCCCCCGCGCCTCCCCCAGCTCCCCAGAGGCTGGCTGGGCGGGCGCTGCTGCAGACAGAGCCCGTCCTGATGGGGCGGTGGGCAAGGCAGACAGGGAGCTGGACCAACTGACTGGAAGAGGCAGCGCCTCCCTGGAGACCCCAGCATCCCCGCCCCACAGTGCAGGGGCAGCCGGCGTGAGGCCCCGGGGTGTGCGCTGCGCCTCTTCCTCTCTGGGGAGATGGAGACTCGGGACACATCTGTACCCCGTCCCTCAGGCCACCACAGTCTTACACCTTGGGCTGGGCACTCAGGTCCTTCAAAATCCTTTACGGTGCTTCTGGGAGCCGCTGTCTCCCAGCCCTGTTCCCATGCGCTGTCTTCTTGGCTCATCCCCTGCAGAGTTGGTGTGTGTGCACACACCTGCACACGTGTGCACGCTCAGGAACACCTCATGCAGAGCATGGCATCCCAGGGACCCCTGCTTTGCCCATGGCCCCACTGGGTCCTTGGAGAGCCCTCGAGGTTGCTTCAGGGGGGCTCATGCTCTCCCAACAGCCCGAACTGGCTGAAGATGGCCTCCCCAGCTGGGGGCGGGACACCGAGGGGCTTCCTCCCCCGCAGAAGTTTGACACCACATCCCCTGTCCTTCCGTCCCCTGCCCTTCAGCGTAGAGGCGCTAGTGCCTTATTATTATTATTTTTTAATTAATTATTTTTTTAGGCGAGGCAACCCTTGGTTGACCTCACAGATTGCAAGGAACTTGTCAGCTTACAATCCCTTATTTTTTATTATTTACATCTGCAGTACCTGATCTTCCTAGGTGGTCTCCCATCCAAGTACTAACCAGGCCCGACCCTGCTTAGCTTCCAAGATCAGACGGGATCGGGCTTGTTCAGGGTGGCATCGCCGTACATATGCTGCTGCCTTAGATCACAGGTGCTGAGCAGTGCAGGAGCTGGCCGCCTGCCAGTCCGCCTACCCGCCACACACAGGTGCAGGATCAGGGGAAGCCAGGCGGGAGCGGCCCCAGCGGCCTCCTAGGCATCCTGGCTGCTGTGAGAACCCGTCCTGCGTCAGACTCAGTGTCAAGCACTTTTATGCGTGGCTCTGCTGAGTCCTCCTAAAAGTCGCCCTACTCAGCGTGTGCCATCGTCACCTCCACTTCACAGAGAACGGAACGGACGCTCGGAGCCCTTAAAGCTTTCGCCTAGGGTCACACAGCCGGGGGGTGGTGGAGGAGGGGTTCAGTGGGGGCTTCTGCCTGGGAGCCCTGATCTTGACCAGAGTGCCATGCTGCCCCCCTCACTGCTCCCTGGCTGTGAGCTGCCCTGGCCTCTTTCGGGGACTCCTGCGTCCCTGAGGTGGTCCACACCAAGTCCATCCACATGCTCTCCCTCGCAGAATGTGACGTGCAGCTCTTTGGACCCCGGGGTAAAATCGAAAGCCCCTCGATGAGTGCAGATGGGAGGGACGCGGCAGGCTGCCGCATCTTCATCGACGTGGCTCCGACGGCCCGCATCGCCATCCACGCCCTGGCCACCCACACGGACACCGGCCCTGAGGGGACCGATGCCAGCTACATCCTGGTGAGGCTGCCACGGTGGCGACGGGAACGGGCTGACTTTTGCTATGATTCTGGACAGCTGTTCCTAGGGACAGGGACCGGGGGTGCTGGGCTAGAGGACCCCGAGTTTGCTTCAGACCCAAAACCTCAAAATTATTAGTGAAAAAGGGGAGAAAAGAGCTTCCTCCACGTAGTCACTAACCAGTGTTCATTGAGCTCCCTGTAAGAGTGAAAAAGAAAAGACCTCGTCTGACGTAGAAAGCCCGTTAATCCGGGACCGAAGCATAATTTTAGAGCCTAATATGACTTTGCCAGACGAGGGGGCCGCCCTCTCCCCCGTGAGGTTTCTTATGTTCTGGAACTGTCCTCTGCAAGGTATCAGCTCCTCCAGAGGAGGCGGCCTGGCTTCTGGAGTCGGACAGCCCAGGGCTGAGATCCCAGCTCTGGCACCCTGGCCGTGTGTCCCTGCGCAAGGTTCCCGGGCAGGATAACAGTGCCTTGCTGATAGGGCTGTTGTGTGAGGACCGAACTCGACCCCGAGTGTAAGATGCCTTGCATTTAAGGGCCACGCGAATGCCAGCTCATTGTCATTTGTGGCCGGTCCTTCGGGCTGCCCCTTTCTTCCCAGATCCGAGACCTCCACAGCCTGAGGACGGCGACATTCCGAAGGCAGCAGGCGCTCTACTGGGAGTCCGAGGGCAGCCAGGCTGAGATGGAGTTTAGCCAGGGCTTCCTGGAAACACACAGCCTGCGCGGCCAGTACTGGACACTGCGCTGGAGCGCAGGAGCGGGGCAGGGCCCTGCCCTTGCTTCCTCTCCAGGAGCATCCCTCAGTTGACCCGTGGGTGCAAAGGGTGCCTGCCCCCAGTCCTGGAAGGGAAAGGAAGGAACCTGACATTGATAAGCACCTATTAAATGCCTGGCCAGCCCCGGAGCGCTTCCAATTTGAATTCCCTCCGTTCTTAAGTATCACTTTAGCGCCTCTTCCAACGTGCAAAACGCTAGCGGGAGGAGGCACTCTCCGGAAGGGCAGCGCCCAGCCCCTCGGGTACCAATACACGGAACGCGCGGTCCGACTAGCGTTTTCTTCACAAAACCCTTCCGAACCTGGCTTGAACCCACCCCGCCCCTCCCCTCAGGGTACGGCAGGGATTTCCTGGGCGTGGTCAAGCTCTAGACTCGCTCCTGACCCGATCGAACCTCTGTCCACTCCCGGCGCTGTTCCTCCCAGGAGAGGCAACTTCCCAGGAGGAGTCACGACTGGGCGCTGAGGCTGGACTACCTGTTAATGCTCTGAGGAGTCTCGCCCCTGTGCTAGTCCCATCGGAAGGATTTCTCCACCGGGGGGTCCTGCGCCGCCAGAACCCGTCCCCTGTGCTAAAAAGCACGAGCCCCTCGGGCGCGGGGCTGCGAGCTTTGCTTCTGTGCTAATAAACGCCGGCGGGCCCCGCCCCCTATGCTAATGAGCGCGAGCCCCTCCGGCGTACCTCGCCGGGGCCCGGAGAGCCCCGCCCCCTATGCTAATGAGCGCGAGCCCCTCCGGCGTACCTCGCCGGGGCCCGGAGAGCCCCGCCCCCTATGCT